GATGATGATGATGATGATGATGATGATGATGATGATGATGATGATGATGGTGGTGGTGATGGTGGTGGTGATGGAGATATGGGGAAGTTTGTGAAGGTAAAGAAGATGATAAAGATGATAGTAGCTGTGATAACATGAATATATGTGATAATAATGAGACTAATTTAATATCTTACCAAATTTAACAAAATATTTTTTTTATAACGATTGAATATATAAGAGAAATTATGTATTGGTTAATTTATAGTCAGATATTATAGGAAGTTAGTCAAGCGGACGATAATATAGGATGACAAAGATTAATGAAACGAATGCAAAAGAAAAAAAAAAGGTGATAGCTATCTTTTTTTTTACGGGAATTAACCCACCCGGGCACAGGCCAAACGACCCACAACGGGGCCTGGTGGCGAAAAAAAAAAGAACAGAAAGAAATTGAAAATAGAGAAGAAAATGGAATATCAACAATGTTATGTGTCACCTGAACACTCTTATTCCAACACTTACGATGACATACTGGACTGAGACACATGATACCGTCAGTGAGAGTGAGGGGGTGCCAAGAGGGAATGCCATGACGGGTGACATAAATTAGTGAGTGAATATTTACACAGGTTCAGCCCCCATACTAGAGAAGCCTCTGTAAGGTGACTGTGGGTATTGAGATCCTTCTTGAATATTTGCCATGTAATTAGGTAATAATTCATAACTTACTTCACATGTATATTGACAGAGGAGGTTTGAAAGGTATTTTTTCCAATAAAGAATACACTACAATAATTACATGTATTATTACGCAAAATTAGGCTATTGAGGTCTCCCATTATATAAGTATTAGCCATAAATATACAATATATATTTACTATACTTATCTGAATGGTCGTCCGCTTCCTGAGATTTGAATACAAATTTAAAACTTAACAACAATGATCTTTTACAATATTATCGAGAGACTTATAATTTTGAATCTACAATATGGACTGCATCTATTACGGAATAATCAGACCGAGAACTAGGACAATACTGTTTCATGCTTCATAAATCACACATCTATTGTACATTAATTTATAGCATACTGAATATTTTATCGCTTCACATATATAAAGAATTATGATCAGATATGTGCAATGGCACTACTTATCATTATACATTTACAGCTCTTCTCTGAATCTCTATAATAACACAAATTTCATTGTTTAATCATTCTTAGTTCCTGTTCTTAATCATAACTCCTGGATGTGTTCCTATCTGGAATGAACCCATTTCAATTTGTAACTCGAATCTTATGTGACAGCAAAGGATGAGTGACTGCAATGTACGTACATCAAGAACAACCTCTAATTGTAGTGTGTGTGTGGTGTGTGTCCTCTAGATATTCCCCACAAATACGTATACTTGTTGTGTTGGTGTTTGTTCTCGTTTGAAGATGTATGTTGTTCATCATCACTCTTTATAGTCACATTCACCGGAGTGTTCTCCTGGGTTGCAATATTCAACACTCCTCAGTTGTTATAGAAACATTCATTAATTTCCCTCAGGACGGGAAACATATCCTGCCTTGTCGTGGTGAATCATACACTGAAAAAACGCTTAACGTATCACGACTCAGAAATTTTACAAGTTTGTAAAGTAGAATAAGATGGATTAGCAATTCATATTCCAGAAAGATAAGGAGCTACGTTTGACAGATTGGAGTATTTCAAGAAATTGTGTAAATATGTTTCAGCTGCAATCAGATAAACTACTTCGTGAAATAATCTGTTTGTCTTTTTCGATTGAGACAAAAGATGAAAAGAAGTTACTCCTTAAGAGGCTACCGGTTACTACCCTTCCTCACCTGTATCTTTACCTCTGATAGATAACGCAGGTACAGCACAGTATACGTATAAAAAGGAAACCCGTTGATCACCATTGGAGCGGTTAATGAGGTGTCCAATGTATCATTATACATCTTCATCTTGCTCCTTAGATTCTTATCTGTAAGCTTAACATTTTTCTCATTGCTGATATTGAAATACAGTAGTTCATAAAATTTAACCTTAAAAGTTTCGTGATTCAGATTATATATTCCAAGAGAAATTAAAAAATCTCTCATCATTATTTTTTCTGTCTCTCTATCCATCCCTCGAGGTACAGAACTGGAAATGTAAATTATATTGTCGAAACTAATAATAACAAAAACAATATATGAAGAAGAAAAAAAGACAGGAAGTGAAGGATGAATAAAGTATGAATAAGGAAAATATTATGACAGGAATAAACCAGGTAGATGGACTGGAAAGTGAATGATAATAGAATGATGGGAAAAAAAGAAACGTAGAGAAAGGGCGAGGAACTATTGACCATAACATTCTTCTTCTAAAATCGTCACTTCATACTTCTCCGTGGATTCAAATGTTCAAGATGACAGCCGTGGAATGTTGGCCAAGCAGGAGTCTAGACAGGGTGATTTGTACCGTCTCTCTCTCTCCAGAACAAAACACCTAATCCAGGACTCGAACCAAGGCACACCAGCCAGAAGAGATACCACTATATACAATGCCATCAACCGTGAACGACTAGTAGTGAAGTGGTATGCCCGAAGACTGTAACATTCAGGCATACGGATAATTGTATATCACAAATCATAAAGGTATCTAAGAAATTTTTAAATTTATCCCACAAGAGATATAAAGTTACCCACAAGACTAACTAACTAACTCATGGTAAACATAAAAATTTTACAGATCCTCGGTGGGGAGGGAAAGCTTATGGTCGGCAGAATATCTTTGAAGAATATGTAAGAGTACATCATTTGCATTCCAGTGAAGGGAATTCATTACAACATATTACGGAGGCATAGGCATACCAAACAGAGGAAGATCGCTTCAATCGTCCATAACTAAATGTGAGTCACTTTGATATCCACAAACGTTAAAGAATTGTAATGGAATATACTCAGAGAAAACATATCTTTCATATGTGCATCTTTAAACTCTTAAAAGTATTTTGGTTGCCTCGGAGGACTCAAAAACTATATTCAAACGAAAATACTACGATTCAGAATATTCTCTCCAAAGGAAATGCGCAAGAAGAATTTTCCCTTAAAAATACAATTAAACAGTTTTTCCCCTACACGAATCACAAATAAAGAAAAGAGAGAACCATCAAATTACATTACACAATCCTTTGTCATCCTCTGAGGAAAATAGAAAATTAGAGCCCCATTTCCCCCTTTTCTCCCTCCTTGACACAAGATGGAATAATTCTCATCTTTTTATTTTTTCTTCTCACTTTTCATAATACGAAAGAAAAGTGCAGACTATGCCAGGAGAAAAGACAATTTGAGCTTCTCCACTGTCGGGATAAAATACTCGCACGCTCTTTGGTCTCATAAAAACCGCTCGGCATATAAAGGAGGCACCATAGGCGGCTCCTGGACCACCGGCCTTGAAGAGGAGGGAAGGGGAGGCTGAGGGCGATAGATGAAGGGGCGACTGATGGACGAGGGAATATAGAGGAGCGTGGATGAAGAGATGAGAGTAGTAGAATAATGTGGGGAGAATAGAGGGAATAGACATGAAAAGTGGAGGAGAAAGAGGGAAACAGATACAATATGAAAAAGTGGAACAGAAAGGGAACAGTAATTTAGTTTAGCTTGTGAAGGAAAGTCCCCTAATAAACGTTTCATTGGAATTCGGATGATTAAATTTTCCCTGTTGTCACGAATTTATATATATATATATATATAGATATATATATATATATATATATATATATATATATATATATATATATATATGTATATATATATATATATATATATATATATATATATATATATATATATATATATATATATATATATATATATATATATATATATATATATATATATATATATATAATTTTTTTTTTTGGGGGGGGGTGCGGGGCAACGACCGAGTGGATACAGAGCTCGTCTCCTGTCCAATGGACTGCTCGATCGAGCCCAAGGCGCCCCCAGTCGATCCAACTGGAATAAAAAACCTGACTTTAGTTAGGAAAGTGAAAACAGTCGAGTGCAGTGCCGGCAACTCTGTCTCAAGGCTTATTATTCAGTGTGCTGTATCCGCACCTTCATGATGTGACTGATAATGTTTAGCTCGTGAGGGTCCTTTTATTCTAGTGGGGCTCAACGAACACAATATTGAATTCTTGGTCATTCTTGTTTTTATTTAGGAGAGTCAGCCTTTGAAGTTTTCAAAAAGCTTAAACGAATTCACTGTACTTATTATTTAACATTTCACCCAAAAATTTTATTTGTACATTCTTTAAATGTTTAAGATTCACTGCATAATGTCAAGATTAATAATTGACCTCTTTAATGAGCAGACTTGACCTAGACTTATACTGTACATCGGTTCTTAAAATCAAATAATAACTAAAACCTTTAGACGATTCGCTGATGTGTATAACCAACGAGTTACCACCACATTATGAGGGTGGCTGACCATAGTTACGCAAAGTGAAAATGTAGGTCAGAATCTCTTAAAAATTTAAAACACCCCCTGTATACACACAACATTAAAAACTTTAGACGAGGGTAAGTAAATTAGTTTTTCGATACGTCAGAAAGTAAATACAGTGTAATCATGAAACAATTCTGAATACTATGAACTCCGAGTTTGCAAAATAGTGAAAAAAGGACATGTCAGTTTGTGAAAACAATCAACTCTAATAATGGAAACAAGAGTCAAAAGTGTTCATCCATAACTCTGTGACAACACAACACATGCATTCAAAATTTGTATATGCTATAGAACATTGCTGTCAATGGTTTACGGTAAAATATATCAAATTCGTAATACGACGCTAAATGTTGACAGAGATGACGTGTTGGATACAGAAAAAACATTATGTCGTGTTAAACTGTGATAAATATATCAATCAGTTGTCACATCACCCAAACTCTTATTTCTAAACACTGAAAGTTATTAGTTCACGTTATATAATACTCTCTCAGTTTATTTTCAATGCACCAGACTTTTCCAAATCTCCGTCGTAAAGATGAACGAGACCTTGTTGAAAGTCTGCCGAGTCTACAGAGTGCTATTAAGGTTACAATTTACCCTTCTAATGGATTTTCGACTTCTGAAATTGACTATATCGATGGCTACTTAAAGCTGCCATTGCGATCTATTGAAGAATACTAAATAAAGGGTTTACATTACCATAGTCAATTCTAAAACAATTATTAGTAATGATAAATAACAGAATACTACAACTAAGAACATTATCTGATAACATACAAAATACAATACACTGAACACTGGGACATGACTCCTTCAGACTCATACACTATTAATCAGAGTCAGTGACATGTGGTTGCGAAATGTCTTACATACAAAAAACATAGTAAATACGCGAATACAAATGGTTGTGATTTTAAAACTTCGCGGAAGTTTAACACATTCCTATGTTGGGATAATCATTCTTTTTCTTTGCCCAGCTGAACATTTTTCACGATTTGTTCGCCTGGTTTACTGTTACTATTAATATAACTGACACTATTACTGTTACTCTGGATATGGTATAAGTATTTTTCACGCAGAGTATGAATATATTTACAACTTGTTGCAAACTAATTTTCGTACTTAGAAGTTGCCATTGCACAATTTTTAATCACCGTTCACTAAGAGTTAGTTCCATTTTACAGTGACTTATAAGACTTTGAAAACCTTTTATTTCAATTAGTATAATAATAATGTATTTCTTTTTTTAAGTGTTAACGTTGGTACGTGTAGAGCACAGGTCCAATGGATACAGTGCTCGCCTCCAGTTCCCGGGCGCTCCCAGTACACCCAGCCATGCTGCCTCACTTTATTTCACTGTCGGTATAACTTGTTAGTCAACCCTCTGATACAACTATAGTAGTATTTCTAACAGTCTTCTGCTGACTACCGGATCTATAACTGCTACTACTGAAACTGTCGTTCTCTGAAACTGATCAATGTGTACATAATTTTTTTTTACGGGGGATTAGCCCACCCGGGCACAGATCACTGACCCACATCGTACCTCTGGGGGAGGGCGAAATGCAATAATAATAATAATAATAATAATAATAATAATAATAATAATAATAATAATAATAATAATAATAATAATAATAATAATAATAATAATAATAATAATAATAATAATAATAATAATAATAATAATAATAATAATAATAATAATAATAATAAATAATAATAATAATAAATAATAATAATAATAATAATAATAATAATAATAATAATAATAATAATAATAATAATAATAATAATAATAATAATAATAATAATAATAATAATAATAATAATAATAATAATAATAATAATAGGGTGCTACTTCTGCCACCATTTCTGTTAGCTAATGCAACATCCACCATCATCCATATTGGATATCACTACCGCTACTACTCCCAAAACTAAACTCAAGTACCACTCTTAACTCCTGTGGCTAGTGTTGATGATGCGTCACTTAATTCAAAACATGACCCACTTGGGCTACACACACACACTATACTGCTTCTCTCAACAGACATCTCTAACTTCAAATCTTTTTGTCGACAGGTTCCTCCCTTTTCATCAGATGTGATTGTGTTCTATAATGTATCTCCTCGATTTAAGTTTTTTTCCCGATTCATAATTTTGTGGACTTTAATACTTTAAGTAGTATTTTTAAGACTTGATCAAAATGCCCTTATACTGTACGTACTTCTGTCAATTCATCATATTTGTCTCTCAGTCTCCTCTTTGTGAAGCGACGTGTCACTGTCACAGCTATTTTCTAAGAGCGTTGTTATATAGAGGAGATATATTTCCACCAATAAATGAACTTGAACAAGATTTAAAACCTGTGTGTAAGATTTCGGCTGGAAAACTTCAATGGGGTAATGGTGTCCCTGAATTCCACATATACCTGAAATTCTTCTCTTCATTCGGAATACAAATGTAACAAGATATTTATACTGACGGAGGCACAAGGATAAGGCTTTGTTTGTTATCCCAAAATAAAATAATTTATTACAGTTACCTGGTGAGCGATTTGGGTAACAGGGTTTGCTTCTTGACACGACGCCCTTCATCCTTCTGACATTGTAGTGACCAACCCATGGCCAGCAATACACGTGTCCTACTGTCTTGACAACCTGTGTCCAACATTTCCACATATCCTTTTAATTGTTTTTCGAAGAACCTTTTATTTTCAGTATGTAATCAAGATATTAATGTTACGTTGTTATGAGTTATTTAAGGTAACTATGATTCATTTTACACACTGCTATTGCATCTATCATTCTGTTTCATTTATCATTTTTTTTCTGTATACATCTTCAACATGTATCTAACTAACACTGATATACAACAATTTAATCATACATGTATCCTGTTTATAGCTGATGATACTTTTAGCTTTAAATTCCTCTTCAGGTATAATCTTTGGCCCAATCTTTTTCATCAATCGTGTTCTTTACCGCGTCTCTCCTCCCTCCGCCTCCTCCTCCCAACACCCCTGCCACGTGAAACCACTGACAGCGTAGCCTATATTTTCTATTCCTATTTCCTTGTCACCAGCACTTGCCTCTCTTACACCTCCCTCGACTCCCGCTGCCAACATAATGATATGTATTTATGGCGTCCTTCCCCACAGCTCATCTGTCAACTCCCTCACGCACCTCACCACCACACCCGTCTAATCATATATTCATCGTTTCCTTGGATTTCACGCTCCCGCTTTAAAGATCATATTTCCACATTAATGTCATGTGGTTATCGACGGTACCTTCAGCTTTTCTGCCCAGAAATCAATGTCGTTTTTACTATGTAATGATTTGGGTTACTGTTAGTTAGTGTTTACTTTGTGTGTTGTATGCCTCTTATAATTTCGTTTAAGCTGATGAAATATCGAAATTAACTCCATCACTTAACAAATCTAAAATAAAATAATCGATGGACAATACTTTCAAGTTCTACAAACCTTAAAAATACATCTATAATAATATATCAGTGACATATTGAATAGATAGATGTCTTGGTGATTCCTTTTTTTTTAAGTCAAAGGTTAGAGACCTGTGAGTCTCTCACCGTGAGTCGACAGATGAGACTCAAAGTGTATCAGATGCTTGTTACCGTCCCTGTATGTTATATCCCTTGTTTATCTTTTCTGTTTTCTTACACATTCTATATATGTAAACACACACACACACACACACACTTTTATTTTCTTCTTTAATTCCCAACACAGTCACCCTTATACCGTTTGGGTGACATTTTCCTTCAATATCTGAGGTAGTAGGTAGTAGGCAGCTACCAAACAGGGAGGTACTACCACCTGGGAAGAAATTGGAAGCATAATGTATTGTCTAATGGTAGACCCTGCTGTCATATGGCATCACAAAAATTGTGACCAAGTCCCAGGTTGCTAATCTGTCTTTCTGCCTCATTTACACACACTTACAGGGTCTCAATTGTTTCTCTTATTATTGACAACACAACAGACATACAGTATATAATTTCTCACTATTGATCTTTTTTTCCTTTTTGTATTTCTTTATGGTTCTTTATTATTATTATTATTATTATTATTATTATTATTATTATTATTATTATTATTATTATTATTATTATTATTATTATTATTATTATTATTATTATTATTATTATTATTATTATTATTAAATTTTCGTACCCCAGGCCCGATGTGGGTCAGTGACTGTCTTAGCGAGTAATAATAGTAATAGAATTTTAACATTTACATTACTGATATTAGACATCCTGTTTATGCGGCCGCTGAAGTTTCATTCTACGTGGCTTTGAGGAATTCCACTTTAACGACAAAGATGCCAGCAGAGACAGTCCCGAGAATCTTCCCAAGGCCACCTCCGTCACAGCCTTAAACACTGATGGGGATGTAGTAACAGTAGGTCCCTTAAGACGAAGGCCCCTACAATATACCGTCGGCTTGGTGGTATTTGAGAAGTGACTCGCGGAACACATCATGTTAACTGAAGAATTTATTTCATATATTTGCAATATACAGGTATCGAGAGGTTGCTAGGAATAGAAAATCGTATGAATAAAAAGAAAAAGAAAAAAATCAGCACGCCACTGCCCCCAGTGATAAAAGCAATAAATTGCAAACTCGCTTCGCTCCAGCTCACGCGTCCTGCCTTTATGGTTTTCGGTATAATATTAAAAAGAATGTAACCAACTGGCAGAGAGGCAGCTAAATATTTCACTCGGGAAGAAAACAATAATTCTTCTATAAAATTTGGAAACAAGATTAAAGTCCTCTTAATTTTTCATTACTATACTAATGTTACTAAGGAATATTTTTGGATTATGAATTACCCAACACACACACACACACACACACACACACACACACACACACACACACACAAATCCTTTCTTTAAATCAGCTGTCAATAAGTACATCTTGTCGTCTTAACATTAGTTGTATTTTCATATTTAAGCAGCAGACGCGAGTTGATGTGTACAAAAGTTCGTTCATTATATTCGAAATCTCATGAAACAATCGTTAAAGTCAGTTATCCCCAAAATTATGAAAAATACATCCAAACAGATAATACAGTAATTTGATGTATTAGTTGCGGTATTTACTAAGTAATAGAACAGAGGCTTTGATTTTTCCCACCACCCGGACTCACATCCAACCAATTTAAGATTATTTAGATTTAAAACATTCAGATATCAAATTCAATTTCGAAGCAAGAGCAAGATTCAAAACTTACTTTCCTCTCGTCTCAAAATCATACGGTTGTTTTACTCCGCACGATTTCCACAAATCTTCGGTCATAGGTGTAAGACTCGGCTTTAGCAAGATTAACCTCAACACAATAAACAATCGAACACACTGTAAAACCTATTGTATGTTTATACTTTTTTCAGCTTGATGAGTAATTAAACATTTATTGAACTCTATCGTTTAAATTGGTTACCCTAGTATTCTATTTTTCCAAACAATCAATAAATTTATTTTTCTTAATTTTCAACCATAATTTAACGTTGACTAGAGGCAAATATATTACATCCCTTTACCTGGTACATGTAAGATTCAATTGCTGATAACAGCGTGAAGATATTTTGTCAAGTTCATCCTCACGTATTTTGTTTCGATTGTGTTCCGAAACAGTTTCACTATTGGT